TGTGAGGGCTTGCGCCACTAACATCTCGAGATCGGATACCGCTCTTGAGCCCGGAAGCGGGAGGCTCGGGAAGAGGCCGCGGCGCGCCAACGGTATGGCGCTTCACAGGGGACGCCTCACGTGCCGTCGGCACTCGAGGAAGAGGAGCCGTCATCCTTTTGCCACTGATGAACTCGTGGTGAATGGCTTCCTCGGGCTTGAGACGCCTGTCAGGGTCCCACCTCAAGCATCTGGCGAGGAAGTCCAGGAATGCCTCATCGTCACACTTAAGGACCTGTTGCAGTGTCTTGGAACTGGGGCGGCGCCTCCGACCCTTGGAGGACACGGTCAAGCGCGGCTTGCCCATTGAGTCGAAGAAGAGCTTCTTGCGGGTGCTCTTCTCGATGAGATGCTTCTCTGGTGGGCCGAAGACCTCCATGATGCAGGCAAGTTGCTCCTGCTCATTTTCTCCAGGGAAGATTGGGACTCCCGTGTAGAGCTCAGCGAGAATGCATCCAAGACTCCACATGTCAATAGGCATGCCGTATGTCATGCCTAGGATAACCTCGGGCGATCGGTAAAATCGTGATTGAATATAGGTATACACCTTTTCGTTCTCGAAACAACTAGAGCCGAAGTCGATGACCTTGATCTCCGAGTGCAGCGGGTGTCGGAGCAAAATGTTCTCAGGCTTGAGATCGCAGTGAATGACCTTGTGCTGCTTCAGGAGATTCAGGGAGCTCAACATCTGTTTAGTCATTCGCCTAATGAGCTTGAGCGAGAATCCGCGGAAGGCGTTTGCTTTGATGAATTCGTAGAGGTTCATGTCTAGAAGCTCTGTGGAAATGCACAGATGTCCTCGGAAGTAGAAGCTGTGAGTAAAATTGACCATGCTGTGTCGGTTTTTGGGGTCCTGTTACCAAAGTTAGCCAAAGCGCTGCATACATGTCCGAATCACCTACCCATTCGCGAAGCTTTTGCAGAATATTGACTTCTACAAGAGCCTGCTGATGGAACCTCTTCTTGTTGCGAATAATCTTCACAGCCACGAGCACACCCGTCTTGTGGTCAATGCACCGCACGACTTGACCGAAACTTCCCTTGCCAAGCACGTCGATAATTTCGTACCGGTACGAAAGATGATCTCCCGGTACGATAGTGTAGTCTCCACGCTCATCGTCGTAGCCAAAGTTGGGGGCATCGGATTGGAGATCTCCCACCACCTTGCGAGCGTTCTGCGTGCCGCAAAAGTAGATATCATTATAGTCAACGATTTCACCACGCTCGTAGATGTTGAGCATGGCAATCCGAATAGCTTCCTGCGAACCGACCCGTTCCTTTGGCGTTGCGCGTTTCCGTAGGGCGTCGAGGGTCCTAGCCGCGATCTCCGTCTCTTTCCGCCTCGAGCCCATCTTCTTCATCTCTTCCTCGGCAACTAGGTCGTCCTTGTCGAGCTCAGCAGTCCATGGGTCATGGTGACGCATGGTTGTTGCTGAGGCCTTCGGGCGCAGAATCTTTTGCATGACGGAAGGGTTGTGCGGGTCGTTGACAGTCTTAGGAACAGAGGCCGAGGTCCAGTTTTCACTTTTAGTTCTATCATGGCCCAGGCTCGCTGCCGAACTCTTTCTCCTCCTTGATTCGAGATACGAGTTGTTCGCTTTGACAGACGGGCTTGGGCTGTTCTTGGCTGAGCTAAGATTTCCGACCGTCGCAGAAATTGGCAATCGCGGCGGTGGCATCTGCTCCTTACTAATGCTGCGTTCAACAGTCTTTTCTGAAGTGCTGGCCTTCGAATCGGTCTTGGAGGTATTACGTTTCCACGACAAGCTCAACTTCCTACGTAGGGAGCTCATTGAAGACGGGGTAGGTGGTTCTTCCGGATCCGATATTGGCGGCGTGGGTGACTTTGCTTTCACAGGCCGTTGAGCACGGGGACCAGAAGGCTTCTGCGGTGGCTTGACTTCGAGTGGTTCCGTGATGTTTCCAAGGTCGCCGGTCTGTGACCTCTTCAGGAAAGCGGGATCCGCGCCGGGCTTGGGCACGGAGGAGGACAGGAACGGAGACACGCTGGGCTTTCTAGTCGCTTTATAAGGTACCGGTATCGGGACTCCCGCGAAAGACTCGGACGAGCTTGTGCCGTCTGCACCGGATGCACTATCAATCCGGGAGTGGTGTACAGTGCTGCTGCTTCGCAGATTGGGGAAGTCGGACTTGTCGTCCTGCCTATTTCTCGAGAAGAAGGAGCTTTTGGACGCGGTCATGGGGGTGGTCGGTGTCTTTGCGATGATGCGTGAGGGAGGGGGGCTCAGGTTACGGTCGGGGCCATTTTGGCCCAAAGCTGCAATCTTCGCGGTCGTCGATGGATTCAGAGGACCGACGGTAATTGGAGGCAGCCGCACAGGTGGAGGGTTCTTTCTCGATTGAGGAGCATTCCCCTTCTTTTCGGCATCCAATGGGGCTGCATTCGTCGACTTCCGGGTACTAGCCTTTCGGGCGACCTTAATAGCGGGTTCGGGAAGGGATGGTATAGAGAAGCTGCCAGTTGAATTGCTGTTGATGCTGCTAGCATCCGCTGCGAGGTTGGTTTTGCGCTTGTCCAAAAACGATGCCTCAGTGGCTGACTGCTGAGGTGATTCGTACGCTTTCGGAATAGCTGGTACAGGTGGAACGTCCTCCTCGTCATCGGCGGAATGGGAGTTATGATTATGCGGGTTCGACGACTTTGGCGCGGGTAGCCGCGACGTAGCACCCCCTGCGACAGGTGCTCGAGGTTGAATTGAGCCTGTCGAGGTTCTCACTGTATTGAAACTGTTGGTTGAGGTGATGGAGAGGCCGGAGCTGTACGATTTTCTGTTGATGTCGGGGGTTGTCCGGGAAGATGATGGCGTGGCAGATGTCTTCCGGGGTATCATTGATGGAGATCGAGAGTGCTCTCGATGCTCGAGCGGCGGTGGTGGCGGCGCGTTGGCCGCCTGGTTGAGACTCGGAGTTTGGTGCATGGACATGCGCTTCAATCTTCGCGTGTCCGTAGGACTGATGGTCCTGGCACCAAGTCCGCTTGCGTGTGACGCATGCTGCCCCCCAGGCATCATAGACTGCCTTTTCGACTGGGCCGAACCGTTATTAGTTCCTTTGCTGCCGCCTCGAGGTGATCTTGGAGAAATCGTCGAAAGGCGGGTGTTGTCTGGCGTTGATAAGTTGGCAGTGTTTGATCGGGGAAGTGGCTGGTGCATCGATTTGGCTTTTGTCGCTCTACTGTTGGCGAGATTCCGTGGAGTCTCAAATCCCATGCCGGCACCGGCATCCATCGAGGTCCGAGAGAAATCCGTTCCACTGCCAGCGGTGCCCATCAGGCTCGGTCTTCGACGTTGAGCAGTGTTACTGCCAAAGTCCGTTTCAATGACGCCCGAGCCGATGGATTTCCTGGGTGGCTTCGCAATGTTGGTGTTTGATACTGGGGGATAGTGGCTTTGTCGTCGAGACCTCGCTGCGGAGGCACCTGTTGACGCTTCTGCAGCGGATGATGGCCCAGAAGCGATGGATGAGATGCTTGGCTGTCTGCTGGACGTGCTCGGTCTTCTCAGAATTGAACCAGACCTTCCCGGGCGAGTAACGGGAGGTGGGATTCCACGTGCAGAGGCGCCATTCTGGGAGATGTTTGAGACCCCGCCCATCTTGTCGGCCATGCTCTCCGAGTCGAGAATACCACCTTGACCGGTCGGATTCGGAAATTGAGTCAATTTGAAGTCGTGCGAGGCCGACTCGAGACTGCTCTGTAGGTCGTCGAAACTGACCGAGGGCAGAAAATCGTAAGAAGGTGTCGAGTCTGCTACTTCGTTCGCGGCGCCATTCCGTCCAAAAGAAAAAAGAGGGTGGTTGTTGGCCGAAGGTGCACTGAGCATTGGACCGCCGGCGAATGAGCCCTTTGAGGGAGAGTCGGTTCGCGAGTCTGGGATTCCCCTATCACTGCAGCAATCATCGGGTCAGCTCTCTGTAGTTATCCACCCAGGGGATGCATGGGCATGGGTCAGGGCATAATAAAGCGGCGTGAACAGCAACGAAGAAACGAGGGCAAAGTTGAAAGGGGAGAGGGGGGATGGGAATTGGCATACAGTCTGGTCGGGGACTGGTTCGCCGGTCGTGGGCCAGCAGGTATTCTATGCTCCCTTATCATGTGTACGCGGTGCAACGGCCAGCGCGCAGATCATGCGAGCGTTGGACGTGATATGGCGTGAAGGCGAGGGCGGCAGAATGTTTCGAGGGGGGAGGGTCGATCAAGTCGGGCTTGTCGACAAAACGGGGCTGAGAGTCGGGTTTCGCGATGCGATGCGGGCGAGCTCAGTCCTGTCAGGGAGCTGAGGGCATTGAAGAAGCTACCTCATTCCGGAACAACACAAGACAGGCACAGGACGACGAAGGGCGGATGAATGAGGGTCGGCGATGTTGGGGTGACAAAAGGGACAGGATTTGAAGATGCGAGGATTGGCGTTGGTTGAAAGGAGGCGGGCACGGGAGGCGTAAACCACCAAACTCGGCCTACGGTAAGGTAGGAGTGAGGTTGGAGAGGGCCGGTGCAGAGATGAGAGGCGACGACGACGACTGCGAATGGGCCGGGCTCTCTCTCTGGGTTGGCTCCGTGTGTCTACTGGTTGTTTTTGTTCGAGGAAGAAGGACCCGCCGCTCAAGTTGTCAGTGTGGTGGATTGGTGGTAGGCGGGCGGGCAGGTCACGACCAGGGTGGTGGAGCGTGCAGTAAATGGGGATGGATGGAGCCAGAAGCACTACACTAGAGAAGAGCACTGGAGCCTCTCGAGTTTTTTGTCTGTTTTTCTTCCCTCTCTCGTTGTTTCTCGACCCCCGGCAAAATGGTACGAAGATGCGAATGAGAAGCATGCATCGGTGTGGAGGAGAGGCGGGCAGAGAAGTGGATTGTCATTTGAGGTAGACGGCAGCGGAAGAGTGAGAAAGAGAGCAGGTAAGGTACTTCCTGGTTACCTTAGGCCGAACGGGGGGGGGGACTCTGGAGTCTGGAGTGCGAGGTCAGGCAGAGAGAGACAGAGTCCGTTTAGTTTAGTTTATTGTTAAGGTACGGATACGGCGCAAAGGCACAGGATGCCCAAGGTGAAGTACCTAACGGCTGGCAACGATGTCAGCTAAGGCACATGAGTACAAACAATACTCCGTACTACTCGTAGGTACTTGGTAGTAGGAGGTAATTAACCACCCGACATGTTCAGTCACTCAGTCCCGTCAAATTGTCAGTCAGGTATAGAGTATGCAACTCCCTACGCAGCCAAAGTATCTAGTGTAAAGAGGGTGGCAGCCGCGATGGACTCCGAGCCATTCTCTGAGGGGAGGATCTGTCATGCACCTCACGACTGACCTGAAGGGGGACTCGCTAGCACCCAAGGCAAGGCGATGCAGCAGTAGTGCGGGAAAAAGGGACCAATGTCAATAGACTAAATGAGCACCAATGTTCAGTTGATTGAAGGGAGTTGAGAGAGTTTATCCGTAAGGTAAGGTACGGAGCGCGGTTCAGGAACACACACCACTTTGCATACGCTACTCCATGCAGCTGCAGCACGTTTCCGCAAGACCGTTCTAGCGGCCAACTTTGGGCAAATGACGGTGGGAAACATGCATCCAAATCGAAATGGGGGGAGGAGAAAAACAAAAATGCAGCGGCGGGTGATGATGGACCTCATCCCTGGACCAAAGGTACTCCGCACCCATGAATGTGAAAAGAGCAGGAAAAAAAAAGGGTGGTGGTCGGTGCAGTGCCCGCCGGCCCCTCACTCACATTTTGGCAAGAGCGAAAGAAAGGGAGGTCGGGGGACCGCTCTACCTAACAGGGATCACCTGTTGATTGCACGAATTGCGCCAGTTCCTCAAAAGACGCGTGTGCCGATTAGTACCGTGCCTATCACTTTGCCTGCAAAGGTACATATCATCTGTATCGTGACGTTGGGTAGCAAAGAAGAGCAGGAGCAGTGAGTGTCTCTCTCCTTCTTTTTGGTAGCATTCCATGATGTTATCATTCACCACTTTGCATCTCAATCCCAGAGGCAAGAACAACCATATCTCAGATACCCAGTACTTGCCTTACTTCGCAGGTACCTATGATAGCGGGGCGGTTCGTACCTCACACCGCATTCCCGTGGAAGGAACTCTCGAACCCATCAGGTCGGTGTGATCAAATCAAATGATGGAACCCGTCAAGTCTAATAGCGTGCTTTGGACCCCCTCCTATTCCCCAATTCCCCTCTTCCTTGAGCCCTGCCGCCCTTGGTCAAATGGCCGCTAAATAACCTCGACAAAGACAAAATGAGGCAAATCTTATGGACCAAGCGGATACCTGATTTTGTACTCCGTACGGATACAGATACAGATACCAGCCTTGGGACCTCAAATTCATCGCATCTCACTATCTCCAGACCATACGGACAAGAATTTTCTACCAAGCAATTTAGCAATTCGGCACCATTTCCGTCGACCAACCGATCGACCCCAAGCCTGTGGCCTGCCCTAAGTTCTAGCATCTCTTCCCGCTAAAGGTTCCAGAGAATCTCGGACCCTGGCCGTTGAAGCGCCATCTGCGGCTGCGGGTTCTCTCATTTACCCAAGATTCTGCTGTCCACCATTACGAACAGCCAAATATGCAGATACAAGTTCAAATAACTACCTTTGGTGCTTACTTGATATCTAGACAGATATGCCGGTCCGAGTAGACCTCTGCACTACGTACAAGGCGCCGGCCACCTACATCAACTAGCATCGCATGTCGTCGGCTCAGATGTACGGATAGCTTGGCTAGCACAGCTAGGTATCAACTCTACTCTTTCCGTACAACCGAACGAGCACGACTCGCCCCAGTTCCCAGCGACCCAGATCAAGTTTCGGGTTGCTGCAACCGTCACACGCGTGTGTGCTTCGCGGGCGTCCCTCAGTCAGCACCATTCGCGTTACTGCATCTGATCTTTCTCGTCGCCTTCTGTAATTCGTTCCGAAACTTTGCCGCGACTCGTCCCAAATTGAGGGGCAACCAACGGTTGAGGAGAGCTTCCCGCGTTTGCCAAGCTCGCTGCTATTCGACGCGTCTTTCGTTTCCATTTGGGGCCAATTGGGACACTGTCGCGCCCGCCGTCACGGTCCAGCAGCAGCTCGGAGCTCCAAGAATGAATGCGTCCCTGCGTCACCGCGGCCCGTTTGTTGTCCTCGTCGCCGCATCAACCAAGAGGAAGACCCTGGGAAAAAAAAAGTGGCATGGGGGTGACGAGTCAAGTGTCTCAACGCCCAAAAGCAAGATGCCCATCTGTCCAGTGGAAATTGGGGGTTCTGTGGCAAAACGGTCTGCTAGCCAGGGATTCGAATGCATGGGGGGTCCCGCCATATGCAATCTGCAACCTGCAATCCTCCTCTCCGCTGCCCGTCCTTGGAGGAACACCGGCCGGTATTCAACCACAGCCAACCAAGCCGTTTCCCGACCAGACGCCCGTCACGTAATTTGTCCGTCGTGGTCCTGTGCCGAGGATCGCAGAAAGTCCATCCCTCGTCTCCTGGGACGACCATCGATGAGCCCAATATCAACGTCGGGGCAGTCAGCAGGGGTTCTCGTAGCATCCAGATGCCTTCCGTGCTTCCCTTCAAAACGCCTGGTCTATATCTCACGGCAGTCAACGTGGACTTGTAGCATTGGCGGGCAACTGTCAGAGACTGACGACAGCAACCCCCAACCTTCAAGGATTGGCTATTTGTCCGAGCGGTGGCTTTGTCTTACGGGATGGATCAATGATTTTTGTCTGCAATCAATGGTACGAATATCTGTCACTTGTCATCTGCAACAATTGGCCGACCTAGCAGAATGGGGGACACTGACAACTGATACATTCGCCGTGCGCTTGTGGGCCATCAATGTAAAGTTCAAAATTGGGCCATGCAACAAAGCCGGTCGACTACTGAGCAAATGTCTGACGGAGATCAAAGCAGTCAGAGCAAGTCTGGTTGCTGTCGGTTATTGGTCAACCAGAGGGATTACGGGACATCTGTATGAAGGGACATGATACATCAACACAAAACCGCATCGCCTTGGTTCTTGATGCAGACCATCATTTCGTGGGATATTGTTTTGCCCAGGCCAATGACCAATCACCGAACACGATTTCCGGGCCTCTGCGTTTGTTTTCTTAACAAGGTGCTGCTATAGTCCGAGAACACACCGCCTGCCTCATCGTCTCGCGGAACTGGGGTCCAGCAGGTCTCTATTTCGAACGCCCTCCGTCTACAATGCGAACCATCAAATTTGAGATCTAACAATACACAGCTACTTGTCTTTGATTATTTTCATCAGCAGCAAGTCAGTTCAGGCGGGCTTTGGGTTGTTTGGTAAATCGAGAGGGCAGAACCAATCGGCGATCTAAACGCAACTCACATTTGAATCGCCTCACCTGAGCTATAGAATAAGGTTCGATCGAGTTGGCCAACCGTCAACGGAGCATTATCAAGCCTCGAAGCAACCCACTAGGAGTGAGAGTCCATGTCGAAGCCTGAATAGCGAAAGGGGCTTTTCAAGCTTCAAAGTCGAATAGAAGCACTCCTGAGTTCTGCCAAGCTGACACTCGCGAGTTCCTTACTACCTGGGGTCATTGATCTACTCTAGCCTCCATTCAGGTGCTTCTTCTCTCAACTAAAGAAAACACTAGTCCTTTGGCTCCATTCCAACTCCGAGCCGGGGCTGCCTCGAGTCCCCAGCTTCTGCGCCTAACGCCCAACAGAGACGGATCAATCATCCCGCCCCTCGTGTACGAAGATAGCGTGTACGTACACTCCGTGACTCCGTACATAATTACGGATAGCACAGGCAGACAAGTAGAGGACGGCACGCTTGTCACCCACGCCGCCGATGCTCTTGGAGCTTGAGCTTGCCATAGGGCAGGTCAACCTTGCCCTGAGTGACTTGGACTGGCATGCGATGGCAGAAACAAGACAGGGTCCGAGCTGATCAAGGGATGCCTCCTTTTCTCTCTGGTGTGCACTCTGGAGTCTGGAGTTGTCTAGATTACTTTCTCTGCCCAATTCCCTCCGTCCCGTTTTCCGTTCTCCGGGCCTGCCTGCGGCGTCCACAACGTACCCTTTTTCCTCTCCTTCGTCACAAATGCAACTATTCCGTACGGAGTACACACGTGGTCTGATGATGCGGGAAGCACTGACCAACGCAGACGGCCGAATTGTTGGTGTAATTTCCCATCCCGTTTCCCGTTTCATGGAGGCTCCGTCAGGATTTGGTGATCCATCACTGTCCGCCCAAAGTGATGGTTACAGAAAACTCATCCAACGTTGGGAGACCCTTCTGATTTGACTATATGTTGGATCAGTTGACATTGAGAACGGCCAAAGTTTCGTGCGAGGAGGCTGGCACAATTGGCAACCTCTACAGACGGGAGAGTTACTTCCTGGCTTCAAGAGCTGAAACAGCCGGCCAGAAGTACGGGAAGTTAGACTCATCCATCGCCATCGCGCGTCTACCTACTCGGTGTATCTTTTTTTCTGTTGTGTATGCAGATGTCACAGAGACAATGTCTTTCTGTGAATGGACCGATCGAACAATTGAGATAGTTTTTCCGCCGTCTGTCCAGATCTCGTGGACACTTTGACTTCTTATTGGACCGCCACAGCTGACCAGTGTCGCTTTCCAGGCTCTTGGCTCTCTCTCCGCTTCCCCTGGACAATCAGCCAGCCGGATTTGGAGGAAAGGATGCGGGCATCCGTACGGGGAGAGACACACGCCATATGCTGGGCCACGACACTGCCGCTGGATCGTAACGTAGATAATGTGGACAGGCTCCAGTGGGAATTCTGTCCCTGCAACATGAGACCACTTCCAATGTGCGTTCTGGAGGTAGGAGGGAGAAGGGATGGGATCATGGATGATTTTTTTCGTGTGGCAGATGCTTACTGGGGGGGCATGTGATGTCCAACCACTGCAACTCGGCTGCCACGGGCTTCTGCGGTCTGCTGGCATCGGACCTGGTTCCCCACGCTGCGGCCCAAATCACATGCAGGCTTGCAGCTTGGGGGGAGGAGCTTCCGCCGGTCCAGCCGGACAGCTCCAATGACATTCCCCATGCACCAATCCACCTCAAAACTTCAACGTCTCACACAGCTTGCATAGCTTCCGGAAATTTCAAACAAAAGCTAGCTTGACCACATCTGAGCTCCTTGCGTAAAAGAGAGACACAGATCGCGTTACCACCCGTCTCATCCCCTTGCTTTTCCAGCGAAGCGCAACCGCACCGCACCGCACTCGCAAGAGCACTGCCGGGCGGCTGTCCGCCAAACGATGACGTGACCTCGCTCCCGCGACTACAACCCGCCAGCAGCAACGAAACAACCGCCGGCGCATCCACCACCACCACCACCACCACCAGACACCCGGCACGAAAGGTACGGACTATGGACGAATATACGGCCGACCTCTTCATATCCCGCGACGATGCCTCGGATCATCAGCCGCATGCGCAGCCGCCTCCGACCGTGGTGGTCGACGAGTGGCCTCACGACTCGGACGTCAGCGAGGGCACCCCGTCCAAGAAATCGCCCTCCGGCCTGCGCTCGCGCATCGCGAACAACCTCAGCAAGAAGACGAGCATCCAAGACCGTTTAGTCGAGAGGTAAAGCCTAACGTTCCCGAGGCGCACACCACGATCTCTCTGCAAGAGGAAACTGAAATGCTAACTAGATTGCTTTTCACTCAGGCTCCTTCAACAGGTCATCCCCGAGAGCTCCGATGGCCTCACAAGCGGCGGCGACGACCCTCTCGCCCCGGGCTTCGCCCCGGACAAGAACAGCACCTTTTCTGAGCGGCCCAACTTCAACATCACCACAATGTCCAACAACTTCCGCCGCTTCAACGCCCGCATCGGCGTCGTCTTCAAGTTCCAGGCTCGCGTCGTCCGCCTCCTCAGCTGGCGCCGCCCAACACACACCCTATCCCTCCTCGCCGTCTACACTTTCGTCTGCCTAGACCCGTACCTCTTAACCGTCGTGCCCCTAGCCGGCTTCCTCCTCGCCGTCTTCATCCCCTCCTTCCTCGCCCGCCACCCGGCCCCGCCCTCCGGCACCTTATCCTCGGAACAATCCGTCGGCTACTCCCCCAAAGGTCCGCCCTTGGCCCCGGCCCGGACAGTCAAACCCGTCAAGGAGCTCAGCAAGGACTTCTTCCGCAACATGCGCGACCTCCAAAACTCAATGGACGACTTTTGCGTCGCCCACGACGGCGTCGTCGCCACCGTCCTCCCCATCACAAACTTCTCCAACGAGGCCCTCTCCTCGGCCCTCTTCCTCGCCCTCACCCTCACAACAGTCCTCATGACAACTTTCGCCTCCCTCCTCCCCTGGCGCCTCATCGCCCTCCTCGCAGGCTGGGCCGCCATCCTCTCAGGCCACCCGGCCATCGCCCCGCTGCTGTCACACACCCACGACACCCACGTCGCGCCCCGCGAAGCCCACGCCCGCTCCAGCGTCGACGCCTGGATCGCGGGCGACATCATCCTCGACTCGGCGCCCGAGACGCGCGAAGTCGAAATCTTTGAGCTCCAGCGTGCCTCCCACGACGAGTGGGAGCCCTGGCTCTTCTCCCCGAGTCCGTACGACCCGCTCTCCCAGCCCCGTATCGCGGGTGAGCGGCCCCGCGGCACGCGCTTCTTCGAGGACGTGTTACCCCCCGACGGGTGGGTTTGGTCCGAGAAGAAGTGGGCGTTGGACCTGTGGAGCAGGGAGTGGGTGGAGGAGCGCATCATTACGGGCGTCGAGGTTGAGACGGAGGGGGAGAGGTGGGTATATGATATGTTTGATGAGAATAGTGCCGGTGGCCACGGGGGACCGGTGGACTCGTCGCCGACGACTGCCAAGGGCAAGGCGAGGGTTCCTAGTGCGCCACTGTCGGGATGGGAGGAGGGCGAGGACGGGACGGGAAGGAGGGGGGAGTGGAGGCGGCGGAGGTGGGTTAGGCTTGTCAAGAGGCGGGCTACGATGAGTACTGCTTGAGGGATTGTAGTGGATTGTATAGTATGGTAATGATGAATGACATGAAATCTTATGGGCAGTCACTTCAAACTTGATCCTCCAACGTCAGTGCGGACGTGGGTACTTCCCCAAACTTAAGACTACACATCTTGACTTGATGTTTCCTCTCGCTCAAAACTTGAAGATGATTGTTATGTTGAATTATCCATCACGGCAGCAACAAGACATTTTTGGAGTCGCGAGATTGTCATTATCGTCAAGTTATTCATCTACGGGTCTTCCTTGCCCATCCATTCGAGAGAACTGGATGGAAGGGAAAAAGGGTCTTTTTCCACGTTTGCTTCTCCCTCTTGCCTGGCCAAGTCTAAATGCAGCCGTCCGGCTTGCCAGCCGATTAAAAGGGTTCACCAAAAACCCAACCAACACCTAAAAGGAAAAGAAGGGAGAACCAGGTTTCCTCGTTCCATCTCTCCAAGAATCAGAGACCAGATGCTCATCCATCGAACTGCCCTACGATCTCATCTCGTCGTGATCCAAGCGTACCCCGGATGAAATCCCCCGTCCCGTCACGTCGCGTTGTTTTGCGAAACGCTCTCCAGCCTCCATGAAGAACCAAAAGCCATCCGTCATCAAATTATGAAGTCGTATTCTTGTCCGCGAGGACCATCTTGTCGAGAATCTTGTGCACGCCCTTGGTCAACCCGCGGCCCTCGTCGATATCATCGGCAATCTTGCGCGCGCGGTCAATGAGCACGCCGACGACCTGCTTGGTGTACTCGAAGCTACCAGTGCTCTCCATACGCGCGACAGCGAAGCGCTTGACCTCGACATCGTTCGTCTTTTGCCCGAGGATGTTGATGAGCTGCAGGTTGGACGGATCGGAGCGGATGCTGTGGATGATGGGGAAACTGAACTTGCCCTCGGTTAGGTCCTCGCACATTCCCTTGTTGTCCGAGTATTCTTTTGACGAGAGGTTCATGTAGTCGTCGCGGATCTGGAAGATGAGGCCCATGAGATTGACGAGCTCGGAGCAGTCTGTCAGGCTGCGAGACTCGGCTTGCATGAGCTTGATGCCCAGACGGAAGAGACCGCCCGTCTTGTTGCCGACCATTTCGAGATAGTCCTCTTCTGTAGGACAGGTGAGTGTGTCGCGCCAGAAAAGATCCATACCCTGGCCGCGGTGAAGGTGGACGAGCTCTTCGGCAAAGATGGAGATGGTTTTGGGGTTCTTGAGGCGCTGGAGCTCCTGGAGGGCGCAAAAGTAGATATAGTTTGCCGAGTTGATGGTCTGAGCTACACCAAAGATGTTGTGGGCGACGGGGAGGCCGCGGCGGAGGGAGGACGAGTCCTCAACGTCGTCGATGAGGAGGGAGGCCGTGTGCAGCATGCCAACAACGTTTGTAATGACATCGATGCTGGCCTGCGGCACCTCGAGCCAGACGTTGAAGGCCTGGATGAGCTGGGCGCGGAAGTCCTTGCCCGGGTGGGCAAAGAGGTAGTCGAAGGGGCCGGTGATGACCTTGTCCTTCTCCTCGGGCCAGGCTTTGCGGGTGAAGTTCAGGTCAGAGGACGCGTAGCGCGAGGGGTCCGGGGGCGGGGGAGGCTGCATCGTGAGGGTGAAGGAGGTGGCTTGGTTGGTCCCCAGGGAGGGACGGCGAGACCGGTGGGACGAGTGTGAGAGCGAGTGCTTGTGGGCGTGGGTTTGGCCGTGACCGTTGTTGGTGTTGGCGTAGTTGGCGCGGGAGAGCCAGTCGGTCTCGGGAACGGTACGGAGGGGCCCTTTCGTGGTCGCGGGCATGGGCGCGGCCGCGTGAGCGGAGAGGGAGACGGGAGCGGCGGCGGAGTTGTGGCCGATGGAGGATTTGCGCGAGGGGATGATGTTTGGCGGGGAATGGGGAAACGAAGAAGAGGGGTTGCCGGTACTTGTAGGATCTGAAGATTTGTCGGCGGCTTTGTTTGAAGGAGGAGAGAACGACGAAGACGCCGGCGGGTTATTCGGCACCATCGCGAAAGGGAGTCTTCTCCAAGGGACCGGCTGCCAGGGAAAGAAGCGTGGCTTCTTATGGCCGTCTGGTAGGGAGGACCCGGTCTCACCAACACCACCAGAAGCTACAGCTGCGGGAGCTCCAGGTGTTGGCTCAAGCTCAACAGAGCTCGTGTGGGCTGGGGATGCGGCGTTGTGGAGCTCTGGCTGGTGGGTTGTGGTAGAATCGGTCAGCTGGCGCCGTTGCTGTAAGCCCGTGTAAACGTCACCACTTGCTCAGCCAAGGTGAGATTCTGCCTGGGGGGGAGGCATAGTAGGTTGTGAAATGGTGTGGTGGTGGATTGGATAGGAGCGGCATTGCGGCAGGCAGTTGATTGCTGCATATGCGAGTGCTTTTCTGCCTGTGTCTGTATTGGTCCGTGGAATATGTGCATGTGCTGTCTTTTGGCGGGGAACAAAATGAGATGTAGACCGTCATGACTTTTTGTGAATAGGACCTTTTCTCCACACCCTGCTGCAAGGGAATAGGCGGAGGCAAGGATGGTGGGTGAGCAGGAATAGGAAAGAGGAAGAAGACTAAGCTGGGTCACTGAACCTGGCTTGGAAGGTCCCTGGTGGGAGCCTGGAGATGGATGTGGCGGGTACCTGAAAAGTCCTAGACAGACCTGCAGTAGACAAACAAGGAGAAGAAAGTATGGAGGAAAGCAACAAAGTAAAGAGAAGTTGGAGATGGACAATCACATGTCAATGGAAAGCACTTCGCGCACCTTGAACATGCAGCAGCAGCAGCAGCAGCAGGAGCAACGATGGGAGCTGTGGCAGGTGCCGATGGAGCCTCAATTGCCCAGGGCAGAGCTCGATCGTTGGAACTCTTATCGATTGATTATCGGGAGATAAGGTAAGGCGGGCAGGCACCTCAGGTACGGCCCGGATAGGTAAGGTATTCGGGCTAATGTTGAGACCGAAGGAAGGAAGACGTCATCCAGTTCGCGGCTGGTCCTGGAGGTCGGGATTCCGTCGATGCCGAGATTCAAACGGGCGCCGCGGACTTTGGTCCGAGTGGGTGGCCGGAGAAGCAGCGGTGGGAGGAGGAATAGCAAAGTGAAGACGAGGAGGGAGACTTGAGGGCCCGGATATTTCGGTATAGTGATGACTCGTCTAGTCGTTGCTCTCCCGCTTGGTTGAAGTCGAATGGATGAAATGGAGCGGAGAAGGAAAAGAAGAAGAAGAGCAAGCGGGTGGGCGGTCAAAAAGAGAGAGGTTCGTGCGAACTCTCCGTCTTAAGAATCGGCCGGAGCACGGAGGAGACACGGACACCACCCACCACGAGCCAACGTGTGACTTGGGAGTATTGGGGAAACGGGCTTCTAGAAGAGGACGAGAGCGAGCCACTAACACCTTGGACACTAGACTCGAACTCCTCGGATGTCACCCAAAATCCTCCTGATCCGCGTGCTTGTCGCCCGTCACTCTGTCACCCCTTAACCATGTGCTTCCCATGTTTCCGCCCAGTGCTTCATCCTGTCGCCGTGTGATGGCCCGGGTGAGAGGGGGAACAGCAGTAGAGGCAAGAGAGAAAGGCAGCTCGCTCCGAGTCGGAGCAACTCTAGACAACTAAATGTGCCATCCCCTCGCGTCTTCAGGTTTCATCAGTGTTAAGTGCCGGTCTTAAGCACCCGCAGCTGCTGTGACGGGGCCGGCAGAGAATCACCCTGTCCCATTCGACGCCGCCTCTCTGCAGTACCTACTCCGTAGCCAAGGCACGCCGCACTTCAGGGTCAGATCAGGGTCAATGTCAAAGCCTCGCTTATTTTTTATCTTCGCCCGATGGAACGAAAGATACAGTTGAGTGAAGGCTTGAACCCTGCTCTCCGAGTTCCCATGCATGGAAGGAAGAAGAGAGCTCATGCAAGAAGGGAAAGCCCAAGATGCTTAGTTTACCGGCCCGTGCCCCCCACAGCACCACAATGCGCCAAACGCAGCCCAATTGACCCGCTTAGCTAAGAAACCATCTCCCAACTGACCACTCAGAGAGCACATTTCCTCTTTGGGCAGCGCTACATCCCCATCCCAACGTGCTGGATCGACCCGGTTGCCGGGGCAGTAATCGTCCAACGCAACACAAACAACCCGCATTGTCCACCAACGTCGTCGCTTTCCAACTTCTACTATACGGATACCTTATTTTCCACATGACTCCAGCTCCCCCCCATCACGCTACCGGGTAGTCACTCATGAATGACCACCTGCGCATGCGCCCTCGCCATTGAACTTTTTATTTTTTCGCCTTTTCCACCTCCCTCTCTACAATTGTCGCGCAATTGTGATACGCCCCCTTTCTCCAGATCCCAAGAGGACTTGTCCTCGCCAGCCTTTCTTCTTCTCTCTTTCTGTATTAACAATTACCCAACGGTGCTGCTGCTTTCTACACTCGACTCCTGTCTCTATCCTTTGATCCGACGCAACAGTATTTCATCACTATCGAATCATTCGCAAGTCGCATCACCGAGAACCGCACCGCATCGTCTCTTTTGTCTCTGCCATTTTGCACCGACTATCGCCCGATAGTCCTCGATACCCACAACCCCCAATCAAGCCACCAAGCCACCGCCTACCACAAGAGCACACTCAGAACATTAGACATAATGGAGAACCTTCTCAGCCTCGCCTTCGACGGCCTCTCCTCCTACGACGGTCCCAAGATTCGCAAGGGTCTGCGCCAAGTCGAGGGTCTTCTTGCCCAAATCTGCCTCTCAGCGCCGGCAAAGTCGAGGTCACCCACAACGGACGATGATGCGTCCCATAACAACGGAAAGTCTCTAGCGGACTTGTCAGACGACCCGGCCTTCCGCGAGTTCTTCAAGCTGCAGGAGGGCTTCGAGTGGAACGTCGCACTACGCCTCATCAACACACTCGACCGCCTCATGGGCAAGGGCACCGACGGACAGAACGACCTCCTTATCCTCAGCTCGCTGGACCTGATCCAGGGTGTCTTATTACTGCACCCGCCCAGCAAAGCTCTCTTCTCACGAGAGCAGAACATGAATGTATGTTTTCGCGACTTCTCCAGCCCCTGCTATCCAAATAGATCACTAATTCCAATCTTTTGCAACAGCTCCTCCTCGACCTCCTCGAGCCCGTAAACTGTCCCGCGATCCAGTCCGCCACCCTTCTGACCCTCGTCACCGCCCTCATCGACACCCCGACCAACACCCGTACCTTTGAGGCCCTCGACGGCCTCCTCACCGTCACCTCCCTCTTCAAGTCCCGCTCCACGGCCCGCGAGGTCAAGCTCAAGCTCGTCGAGTTCCTCTACTTTTACCTCATGCCCGAGGTTCCCTCCATCCCCCGTGCCGACGTCCGCGCTTCCGTCCCGGCCATCCACCAGCGCAGCCCCAGCAAACTCGCCGGCGCCTTTGGCAGCGCGGCCTCCACACCCGCCTCTACCGATGCGAGCCACGCTCGGAGCCGTGCCGGTAGCGAATCATCCGACACCATGACGACCGAGGAGAAGCAGGAGCTGCTGGGCCGTCATCTGAGCAATGTCGAGGATCTCGTCAGGGACCTCCGGACATGCACGCCCTTTGGCGGTGTCGTATGCTAGTCTCGACGAGCAAATTGCTCATATCTGGCATCAGGTGTTTTAGGCTTCTCATTCTTTCATGGGGTTCTACTCATTCGCGAGGTCTGCTTTCTACCGTCGTTTACAAATCTCCACATCGTTTGGCGTTCTCGTGGAAGGGTTAGGGGAATGCGATACAAAGGTTTTTACTTCCATGTTTCGGGCGTCCTTTTTTTCGTGTCAACGTAGGCGAGGAGTTTTGTCTAGATTTTGTCGTTTCCACCGAATCAGGGGAAGGAAGGGAGTCGCTCATTGCTTCTTGCAAAAAAAAGTTTCCCTCAGTCAGTATCGCATAATACGTATTATCAAGTTCGTAGCAGCATCAGGAAGAACAGATCAAGAAACGCCCGCATCTTTTTCATGCAAAGCCTTGACATTGAAAGACTTTGCTTCATCTAATGTGGCTTCGAGAGAAGTTGGCTGGTATTGCAAACAATGGCCTTCCCTTCAAGAGGAGACACCGATAGGAACTTGCTGCTTGAAGATGTGGTATCATTTCGTCAAGGACGTTTGTAGGTAGAAGAAGTTGGGAACTTGAAGGTCTTCGCCTTCGTTTCTCGGACACTATGGGCTCTGAGCCTTGTTATTCCAAGATACCTCAACCACACTGCGTCGCTCAAATCCTCGTCCTTGCTTGAGTGTTAGCTGGAATGTACGGACAGAGAGTACGGGAGATGGGAGCCTAGTCCTTTAGTGCTCTGGATTCGAGGGTACACGATATCACAGATGAAAGCATCTACAAAGTGAGCGATCATGCCATCATCCATCTCTGACGAGATCCGACCTGCCTGGCTTGCTCGCTTCGCGCCAGACCCAGAAACTTGGAGAACCGGCCATACAAGGCGCCCTAATACTTTATATACATACCTATTTGTTTACGGAGTATTGCCGGTCCTTTAAATACAGGCCGCGATCACCACCAGCAAGGATGGGAAATCACCTCAGTGTTGGAGAAAGCAAGAATGTTGTCACAAGGCGCAAAAAAAAAAAATGACAAAAGGGAGACTCGAACTGGCAAAATGGCAGAATATGTTGCTACAGCGAGACGCGGCGCTGCAGGCTTATATGATTTCAGTTTGCGATCTGCGGAAGAGTACACACACGCTGAACCATTCGGCCAACGTGCAGTTGCTCTCCCGCCCCGACAGACGCTCTGACTTGATGGGCTATAGAGGGTGTGGAGTGGTGTATTCACCCCTTTGAGCGAACCGTGATGGCTTCATCCGTTGTTTGCTGACCCCACAATATGTTCCGGAGAAGCCTGGCCAATCACGTACGCTTCTTTCAACGGTGACCACGTGTGAAGTCTAACCAATTGTGCATTGCTCGATTGATATTTCGTTATATGTACGTTACTATATCCGAAGCCATGTGTACCCCGAAGCTTTTCAGTCCATGTTCTCGTACATTATATTTGACAACCACTCTAGAATCTCGGGATGATGGTATCCGGCTTGTTCTCCAGCGCCTCGTCAATCTCCTTCATAATCTCGTCCGTCAACTTTTCTTGCGCACCAATGGCCCGAATGTTTTCAAACACCTGCTCCGGACTGCTGGCGCCGATAATGGCAGAGCTGACGTTCTTGTTCTTCAGGACCCAGGCAAGCGCCAGGGTAGCCATCTTGATGCCCAGCTTCTCGGCAATGGGCTCAATCTTGTTGGCCTTGTCAACGAGGTCCTGGAACTGCTTCTTGGCGTTCTCCCTCTTCCAAAAGTCCTTGATGAAGCCAATGTTCTCGGAGCCGAAGCGGGAGTCCTCGGGGATGCCGTTCTTGTACTTTCCGGAGAGGATGCCCTGGCGCAGGGGGGAGAAGACGGTCAGACCGGTGCCGACTTCGCGGTAGAGGTGGAAGAACTCGTGCTCGACCTTCTTGCGGTCCAGCATGCTGTATGAGGGCTGCTCCATGATGGGACCGACCAGGTTCAGCTTGTCGGCGTAGCGCCAGGCCTGGGCGATCTCGTCGGCGCTCCATTCGGATGTTCCCCAGTAGAGGGCCTTGCCGGTGTTGATCAAGTGGTTGAAGGCGCGGACGGTCTCCTCCATGGGTGTCTGGCGATCGGGACTATGGAGAGTCAGTGGTATTCGTAATCCCGTCGAAAGGGAGACTCACCGGTGAGCGTAGACGAGGTCGACATATTTGAGATCGAGACGCTCGAGGCAAGCGTCCATGGCCTCGATAACGTGCTTGCGGGACAGACCCTTGTTATTAACAACGTTGTCACCGAAAGCACCACCCCAGTAGATCTGTTGCGCATTCAATGTCAGTACCGAATTCCAGTGTTGCCAGGCCTTTGCGGGTTTGCGCACCTTGGTAGAAATGACGAGGTCGTTGCGCTTCCAGCCGTACTTCTTGATGGCCTGACCCATAACTATCGTAAAGTCAGTCCTCGTTCTCTCGGCAGGGGTGAGGTAGTCTGTCCGTACCAACTTCGCTCTCGCCGTTGGCGTAGCCCTCGGCTGTATCAAAGAAGTTGACGCCAGAGTCGTAAGCAGCCTTCATGCACTTGAAAGTGCCCTCTATGTAATGTGTCAGTCTCGGTCGACTTTTGTGAATCGGGGTCTGTTCGTACCGGAGTCGACGTGGCCGCCGTAGGTCAACCCTAATAGAGAGTCAGTGTCTATAACATCATCTGGGACACAACTAGGGTAACTCACAGCCTCCCAAGCTGATGGCACTAACCTGAAGGCCAGAACGGCCCAGGAAGCGGTACTCCATAGGGGGAAGATCTTCAGGCTTGGACATTTTGTCGGTGATTCGAGAGTCGTTGAGGAGAGAAGTTCGAATCCGTGAGCTGGAGGAAAAGGTGGTGGGAGGTCGCGAAAGTGGAGGCGAGTACAAGCCGTCAATTCATGCGAAGAGCAGCAAGCACCTTACTTATAGTCCCCCTCGTTCGACGAGCTCGTGTCCGAAAAGAAATCTCCATTGGAGCTCCATGCCCATGGCCCATGTCGAAAGGCCAGCGTGGGGCCCAACCTATTCCTCTCACGGTTACGGATACTGCAGCAGCCGTTAAATCGCCCATCTCCAGTGGTCAAGCTCATGGAAGCGGGGCAGCCGGTATCAACCCCGCCATCCAAGTCCATGACCCGCGAGTTGTGTCACCGGCGAGCCTTGTAGCCAATGGTCCCATCCCACGCCGAGCTGTTGGCGCGGGTACCGGTTCGGTACAGACGCAGCTGTCGTGATTTCACGGTGCCTGATCCTAGAGCTATGACCGGCGGGATTGAGCTATCCCGAGCTTGTTGCTCGATAAGCAGAATGAGACGCTTGCGAGCAACCTGACTGTGCTGATTTGTTTGCTCAGTCTAACGGTGACCACTCAGGACCACGTGGCAGAGAAAAATCTTAAGGACAATCCCGAGGAAATCGGAAAAGACACCGAGGTACAGTAAGGTAGACAGGAAATCTTAATGTCACCCGCGTCGAGGAATTGGAAGCGAAGCTGCGGGTGTGCGCTAAATTACCCCTCCAGCTGCCCCTCCAACATAACCTTACACCATTGCCCCTGCTGTAATGCGGGTCGTCCAGGGATGTTTCATATTCTCGCTGCTCCGATTGCCCCGAATTTGCGAGGATGCCGCCAGCTTACTAATTCTTCATCGACGCTTCCCTTCCCTATCAAGGTGTCACGGAGCCATCTCAATTGCATACGGCATCTTAGGGTAGAGTAAGTTGCGCTACTGCCGTCTGAACCCCATACGGCGAACTCGAACGACGAATGATGCCTCGCACGTCTTTGGTCAGCCTCAATGCGCGGCTCAACCAATGCATAAACCCTCAAGTCGTATCATTGATCGAGTCGTATCGAACTACCACGACGTAGCGCCAAGTTCCTGAACATGGTCTCCTTGTAGGCTTTACGACAGTGAAATCCATCTGACATAATTCAACAAGATGCCAATAGACGGTACTTCGTACTTCAGGAGAGGCTCCAATGATGATTCCATGCCCATGGTAAGCCGCACCATGCTACGAACAGCCTGTCGCAAACCAACGTTCCACCCTATCGCATTGAGACAGCTTGACGCCCATTCCAGATTGTAGTATTTCAAGGTTTCTTGCGGAAAGCCGGGTTCATCTTGCAGAGCCTCAGTCTTCTCAAGCTAAAGCTGGCAGGTCCCCCAAGATACCATCAGCCTGTTCAGCTTTACATAAGCGCGAACTTGAGTTAACTACCACGAGGCAGCGTACTGAAATGAGGCAGCTGACGGCAGTACGAGTAACATCCTAATTTAGGACGGTGGCCAATTAATGGTTCAGGCAGGTAGGTCATTGGCTCGACCGAATTAAATAACACAAAATTCTCCGCGGCCATATCCAAATCTGACCTCAACTGGGCTCATCATTCAAACCCGGTACTCACTCAAAGGTGGCATTCCCAGGCTTCGCTTCAACATCTATATAGATCTGAGCTTTGCAAGACAGAGCATATAGGTCTGAAACCTTGAGAGTGTAGGCCCAGAACACCAACCCCTCTCTATCAAGCTTTGGAGTTGAAGTCTTGAAGGAGTGTGACATGAACAGTGGTGCCTGAGCATTTCTCAAAGAACTGGTTATCTGCTACTCAAGGATGGCTTCACAACGGGTTGAAAGGGTATTTTCTAGTAAAAGAAACCTCAGACTTTCTCATCTGTTTCCAAATAATCAGAAGTGCTGCAGTTCAGTTGATGCTTCATGCCTCGGCCAGAATAATGGCCCGTCTGCTATATGAGTGCCCTCATATGTGTTCAACATAGCTACGGGCATTCACGACTTCAAGAAACCCACATCGTGAGAGCACAAGAGCAGTGGTCTTGTCGACATAAGCGGAAATCAGGGCTTCCTCTCCATGGATTAAACCTAGACCCTTTCCCACAAACCTCCTCCTCTTCCTCTTCTTCTCTCTCTTCACCATCTCACCACCAAAGTTGGTTTCCCTCAACCACAATCAGCTTTCAACGCCACCACTTCGTTTCCGACTTCCAGTACGCAACAGATCACGATAGATCCCTGAAATACACATCGTAAGTCAATTTTCATCTGTTTTCGACGTTGGATTTATCTCGTTTTCTTCCCTTTCCGAGCAATTCATCGCGACTTGGGTTTACAGTAACTGCCTCGCAAATTCTGGCTGTCTCGGCAGTTCAAGACGGCGAGAGTTTTCATCGGGCAATCCTTGCGGATCTGAACTGCAGCAATCACTTCCCCAGAAAAGGCAGCATGTTTTTTGCGCTCCTTCTCCTTGTTGCCTAGATCGCCCCTAGCTGTACCTTCTACCTTCCGCCATTCGGTCACGCTGTCTCTGAAGCTCTTCTCACCCACATCGACTTTGCCTTTTCCCTTCTACAAAACCCAACCTTTTACTTCACATTACTCTGCAATCTGCTCTGTTCTATTCTTCATCCGCTCTCTCTGATTCTCATATCGAAGAGTGTCTTTTGTTGACTTGTGGAACCAGTTCATACTCTCTCTGTCAACCCTCTTGAGAATACAGCAACCCAGCTACTCTTACTCGAGAGCTTACAGCAAGATGTCTGATCCTTGGGCCACCACTGACGCTTGGGGCACTGGAAACGCCTCCGCTGGCAACGATATTCCCACCGATGACCCCTGGAACAACCCCAAGGGCGGCGATGGCGGTGACGGCGGCGATGGAGGCGACCGCGCCTGCTTCAACTGCAGTCAGACTGGGTAAGTGACTTCAGGTCTTACCGACACTCGTATTTTCGCACACTGACACACATGAAATTGTAGTCACAGCAAGGCCGAGTGCACCGAGCCTCGCAAGGCTTTCGATGGCACTTGCAACGCTTGTGACGAGCAGGGCCACACTCGCCGCGATTGTCCCACCGCTCCTGCCATGACTTGCCGCATCTGCAACGAGGAGGGTCACATGCGCAAGGACTGCCCCAACAAGGGTCCTGATCTTTGTCGCAACTGTCACGAGGAGGGTATGTTGTAGCCTCTTTTTCAATGGCGGAGCGAGACTTGAGACTAATCTGATTTTTACAGGTCACGCGATCGTTGATTGCAAGAACCGTCGCAAGCTCGACTTTACCGCGGTCGCGGATGTCGATGCTGACAAGGCCTGGGAAGAGATTTACGAGGCTATCCAGGAGCGCGATGGCGTCGATGCCAAGGAGGCCATCCAGAAGTACCTCAAGCACTTCCCTGAGATGGGATATGTCGAGCTGGAGAAGGCTTTCCGCGCCCAGGAGATGAACATCTACCTCATCGCCACTGAGCGTGTCTTGGCTCCTACCCACACCAACATGGATCTCCAGGGCAACTTGGACAAGAAGTACACTGTTCAGTACCGCTTCTCTGCGCAGCCTGACCGCCAGCGCGAGAAGCCCAACTGGCCGGCTTCCCCTGAGGAGAACCTCGCGCGCCTGGAGGATGCTGGAGAGCCCGTTTCCCGCCTCATGCAGAAGTGCAACAACTGCAACGAGCTTGGCCACCACTCCAAGGAGTGTCCTCAGGACCCCATGGAGAAGGTTCGCGTGACCATCGCCTGCTACAACTGCGGTGAAGAGGGTCATCGTGTTCGTGATTGTGAGTCTACTTGCTTTACTTCAGTTTGCGTCGGTGACTGACTGATCTAGGCCCTACTCCTCGCGTTGACAAGTTCGCTTGCAAGAACTGCGGGTAGGTACCCCAAGTTTATGGCCGTCCTCAGTGTGCAATGACTAACCTCTCCTATAGCCAGTCTGGTCACAAAGTCTCCGATTGCCCCGAGCCTCGCAAGGCTGGCGACGACGTGGAGTGCAACAAGTGCCACGAGAGTAAGACATTCTTCATACTGCCTCCTTCAGAGACAAAGGCTAACAAACTGCAGTGGGCCATTTCTCTCGCGACTGCCCCCAGGGTGGTGGTGGACGTGCTTGCCACAACTGCGGCCAGGAGGGCCACGTCTCCCGCGAGTGCCCTGAGCCTCGCAAGATCAAGTGCCGCAACTGTGACGAGGAGGGTCATCTCTCCAAGGACTGCGAGAAGCCCGTCGACAGTGAGTCGATGACCCACCCTTTTCATTGACTTCATGATACTGACACACGTTTCTCAACAGTCACCCGCATCAAGTGCAACAACTGCGGTGAGATGGGCCACAAGAGCTACAAGTGCCCCAACCCTCCCAAGGAGGACATTGATGACTTCGGCGCTTCCAACGCCGCCCCCGACAACACCGACACCGGTGATGCTTGGGGTGCCGGTGGTGGTGGTTCTACCGAGGATACTGGTGCTAGCGGCTGGTAGATGCGTTCTCCGACATGCATCTACAGCGGGATTGGTTTGGTGATTCTCTATTTGGCGTTGAGGTCATGAGTTTTCGTCGCTGCCACGGCAGACGACAAGGTTTTCGATGGAACGAACGGTTAATAATTCTCTCTGCTTTCATGATTGATGGTTGGTACAGTCTCTCGGAAGGTTGAGATACATAGAACCAATGCAATGTTCATGAACACAACCTTATTGCTCTTCCGTGACTTTGACTGCTTCTGTGGCAAGGTTCATTGGCCTATCTAAGCTGGCTCGTACCTGGCATATCTGGCCTGATAATATTCCAGTATAGACGGCTGTAATTTGTTTCGTGGTATACAGGTTCACACCCAAAGCACCCAAGCCAGCTTGACCTTATGCCGGACAAAACGATAAAATCGCTTCACGTGGAAAGGACAGATGATTAGAGGATGTTACAATGACTTTGTGATACTAGAAGACCATTCGATGAAGCAAGATAGTCATCGGCATTACTCGACATGAAAATGTACCCATGTCCAACAACACTCTCTCTCCGTGTGTGTCTCTCTTTCTCTCTGCTCTGCTCTTGGTGTCTGATCCGTCGTATCTTCTTTCACCCGTGTGCGTATTTAGCTCGCCAAACCACCCCATCCATCCCAACCCCGTCTTCGATTTGATCGGGAGAAGGGAAACCCATGCGTGTCCGGATATCTTCGTGTACGCCCGGAACGCCGCCCATATGACAAGAAAAAAAGGAACCTCCATGTGCGTCGCTGCCTCCTCCTCTGATATGCCGCTTGTGCTTTGCTAGCAACGAATGTTTCCCGGCTCCTTTCTCGAGGACCCCGACTACCTGGTCACAATGGACCAACCCGACCCGTTTTCGTTCCCAAGAGAGAATGTTGACACATGCCCAAGCTTAGCCTGAGCAGCCCTGCCTCGGTGCCTCAGAGACCGAGCAGGATCATTACGAATACGTATGCAAAAGGGATTGTGAAAAGATGAAAAAAATAAAATAATAAACGCCCTGACGC